TCACACACACACATATATATATATATATATATATATATATTATATCGAGTGTAACGGCAAAATTGGCAAAATCGTGTAACAGCAAAATTGTCCAATTTTTTAAGCTCTGAGCCGTTTACCTTAGATATGATTAAAGATATCTTACTGGAATTTTATGAGTTTTTATAACACTACTGGACTCTGCATTGAGCAATAAGAATGTATAATTACTCTATCAGGTTAACAAAAGTATCGTGTTGAATTAGATCATAAATGAAAATGACATGTTCATCATTAATTAAACATAGCTCAGGATTCTTAAAAATGAAGGATTGAAATAAAGTTCAAATACACACATACATACATACAAACATTAATATAAATATATATATATATATATATATATATATATATATATATATATATTTTATTATTAAAGTCATTTTGAAATTATTCAAGATGAGTTAAATTAACTTTCTGTCTTGGAGTAACAAGGTGCCTCAGAGTTTTCGCGTACGATTTCATTTTCAAGTCTTTTTTCAATGTTATAAGTAAACCTCTTTTACGTGCCAAACGCTTTATTGATTAAGTTGGATCTTTTCTAATTGATCTCTTTACATCTTAGTTGAAATGTTGATCCCTCTTCTTGTTGTGACTTCCTGATACAGCTTTCTTCTTTACTGTTCTCTTTTTTACACTAATTCAGCGTTCTCTTGATGGTTATTGGATAGACTTTTATGATGGAAGCCAGATTATTAATGTTAGTACCATTACAGAAAGGTTTTGAATGTTTTTTTTTAATCTAACAATTAATCAGGTTTCTTATTTTGTGGGGATAAATAACAAAACGACCTGTTCCTTTCTAGCTGAATAACTGTTGAATCTTGACTAATGTATGGAATAATAATGCAACACAAAATGTACTTAGAACAAAATGTATTGAAACAAGAAAGTGTACACAATATTTACATATAGTCTTTTGTATATTCCTGGGAAGACCGTTCCTGGAGAATGTGTTGACTGAGTCGCAGTTGGACAGAGTCTCTGGTTGAATCTCTTGATTCCTCTCTCTCTTCCCGGTACCAACCATATTTATATGGTCGGTACTCCACTATGCAAATTAGGTGGATCCTACCACAACAATATATTATATCAAAGGGTTTAAAAATGATTGAATTACGACAAATATTTATAAAGATACTCTAAACATAAAGAAAAAAGTTGGGTGCTTTGGAAATAATAATAAAGTCAAAAAGATATTAAACATTTCGTGGGATGGACAAATCAAACATGATTTTGAGAAATTTTTCAGTTACACACAGTATATGAATAAAGGGAAATAAACGAGGATAGGATCCGAATTGTATTTCAAAAATGTCTAGAATCTTACAGGTTTCAGTAACGAATATAAATAGTTATTCGGAGAATAAAATACAAAATATAAAGGGAAAATTGAAAGGTTTTAGATTCAATGAATTATTCATAAAAATCTAGAATAATGAAAATATAAAATTTTGGATTAGAGCAGAGAACAAGAAAGTCAAATTTGAGGAAAGAAAATTTATTCATTAAAAACAAAAACAAAACAAATTAAAAAAAAGAACAAATTTTTGTTGACAAATTATTCGGGACATATGATAAAATAAAAATATAAAACTTTGAATATTTGTTCCTTAAAAAACCCATTGAAGATTGGATAGGCAGGTGACGTTGCGAAACTTTGGATTCAAGGATAAATAGGCAACATCAATCAGAGAAGTTGACAAATTTTACTCAAATATAAACATGTTTATAACACACACACACACACACACACACACACATATATAAACATATATATATATATATTATATATACATAATGGGGAAAATCTACATATCCCAAATTTTATTTATACATGTGTTAATATATATAAATGAAAAGATCATGGGTCCCGGATATAAAAAAACCGATTAGGTGAGAAGGGAAATCCATCTAACTATATTATATATCTTAGTTCACAAAAAGTTTTAAATTCGTTTGCATAATTAAAAATTACCATATTCAGGTATAGATTTTAGACATTTAAAAAAAAATAAATTTCAAAATCAGCGTTGCTTAAAAATGAAAAAACCAATAACTCATTTTTAATAAAATTTCGGATAAAATACATATATATATTTCGATGTCCTCTTAAAAATAAGAGAAAAAACCAGGAACAACATCTATTATATACCTGAGCCATCATTCAGAAGGAACAGACGAATTCATTAAAAAAATAACAACTAATACGGCAGAAATTTATATAAACAAGGATCAGGTTCATTCAAATAACGGATTTAGAGGTTTCAAATTACTATTTGAATCGTTTGCAAGATGGATGTCTAATGAAATTTAAATCATTAAATTTGCATTAGTTTTTTATGATGAAATTCATGTATTTGTAAATTGATTGCACGTTTAAAATAATATATATATAAAAAAATCAAATGGTCATGAATAAATATATATATATATATATATATATATATATATATTTTATATATCAGTCCAGAAAAAAAGAGGCTATTTATGAACGGATAATTTGTGTTATCAAACGAGAGTTATGGTACTTTTGATTATGAAAGAAAATCAGGAATAGAAGAATTTAAATGGGGGAGAAATATAGTGTTAAAAAAACCATAAGTCATTTTACAAATTAAAATGATTTGGAAAATGTTTGAAAATGAAAAGTCCTAAGAAAATATATATATATATATATTGAATGCATATATCAAGATAACATTTAAAAAAACAAATATAGTGAGGAGATTTTAAGCGCTGAAAGTTGTCCGAAAAAAAATAAGTCCGAATGAAACGCTTAATTATTGAAAATTCATATAGAAGATAAAATATTTATATATATAAATTTAGTTGAATATATATTATTTTGATCAATAAAAATATTCAAGAAAAGTCTATTTTTTAGCAAAATAATTAGATATATCTGTCCCAAATTTAATTTATTGGACTCATGCATTTTGAACATGCTAAGTCTCAAATCAAATTTATTTTATTCCATTTTAAATTTGACTATTTTATTTTTGAATTTGTTACATATTTAAATGTGAATATTCCATTTTGAATTTGGGGTTCCGAAATTTAAATTTGACTATTCCATTTTGAATTTGTTACATTTCATTTTGAATCTATATATATATATATTTTGGAAGAATGTTTGAATATATAGGCTATTTATATATATATTTAAATTGTTTTTTTTCTGGAATATAATTAAATATAAGTATATATTTTTTAAGTTCAAATTTTGCATAAATTTTTAAATATATAAATGAAGTTTAATTACGCTATATATATATATATATATAATTTATTTGTATTTTATATATAGCGTATATATATATAAAAAATTCGGTATATTTAGAAGGCCGATTGGATAGAATTATTTGAACTATAGAAAAAATCATTATTTATTTTCAATTTCAAAAAATTGATTGTTGATCAGAAAAAAAGATTACAGCTAAAGAAACACCGAGTAACAAAAAATATCTGAACACGCATTCCTGAATACACAAACACCACACAAAATATACAAAGTCAAATATATATTTTATATATTAAAAAAAAAATAGTATATAGTGTTATATATAAAATATATATATATATATTGATCTTTATAACACCGATATATGGATAGGTTATATATATATATATCGAAATATATAGATATATATATATATATATATAACGATTTATATTAGAATATTAAATAATAAGATTCAGTTATGTGCAAATTGTTCAACTGGATTGATATATTATTATTCTTGTATCGGTTAACAAAAAGGATATATTTGCCAAATAAGAACTAAGGTATTCTTTTTCAGAAAGAAACCTTGTTGAGGCATATTAAATAAAATTGGATGATTTTATCAGAATTGTTTGACTATTAATATACACAAAGAATTTACAAATTAGAAGGATTTTCCTTTAAATTAAAGTTAATAACAAGATATTCCATTAATGGATTCGATATTGATTGATATATTTATTAAAAGTTCTGAAAAAATACAGCATGGCAAATGTATGATTCAGGAAATATTTCTTTAGAGGCTACATATCAGGGTTTCAAAATCAGTGAAACATGTGTGAATTTTTCTGACAAGATTAAATATACCTTTAGATAATCATCAAAAACTGAAGAGATTTCAAGGATCTTAAAGTGTCATTAAAGACATAAAATTCTAAAACAAATATAATATATATCATATCGGATTAATATATATATATAATATTGTTTGCCAGATTCTATAAATTATGTGCGGGCACCTCTGAATAATATAGATAAGAAAGCAAACAACAGATAATAGATGATAGATAGATAGATAGATAAATAGATAGAATGAATTAAATAGACATAAATTAGACAAAGAGAATGACTTATTACCGACATTTATATATTTACATTAAAACAATGGATAATTAATACAATTATAGGAGTGGTAATAATTTATAAATTTTTTATATATGGAATGAAAACAGTGGCCCACGTTTAAATATATTATGAATCCAATACAAAAAATTAAAAGTCAAATTTTTTTTTGCCTGCTAATATTTTTACTTGAAGTAATTTCGCAGGATGATATGGGAATATCATATATATAAATATATATCATATATATATATATATGAGATGAGGATTATATACTATTATTTATCGGACTATTTTCCTCATCTTTACCATATTTATACAATATTTGATATATATATTATTCTTATATATTGGAATGTCGAACTGAAACGTTTTTGTAAAATTTTGCAGAGAGAAAAGAACAATAATTAACAAAAAAAATTGCAAATGAGCTCTTTTAAAACAAAAATGCAATGATAACAGCAAAATTACAATATGGAAAGGTGAAAATGGTT